CATCCCCACAATATCCTCCCTTCATAGTGTTACCTTAATGGTACCTCTTACGAGCACATGGCTGATTGCTCTCTGGCAGGCCGTTTTGTCTAGAGGAGCGATTGTGCTACTGTTCTCCCAAGATCAGGGGACAGGCACTCCTTTCTACCTGCCCCCAGCACTGGTGTTCGGTTACTCCCCCAGTGAGCTTAGGGATCTCTGGGGTTAAGATACTGTCCATCTTGTTACATAAGTAGGTGTCTGTCCAGGTGATGGGGGTCCCCAAAACTTGAATGGGTCCTCAGGAGTGATTTTGCAATTGTGGAAAATAATAATGACAGAGAAGACAGTTTTCCAATGGGTATAAATAATGGGGCTTACAGATCATTCAAAAGGCATACGCATCATTCAGCAAACACATTACATAGTCAATGGGTAATATCCTAAGCAGGTAACATAATAAACAAACAACTAGGTGAGTCACCATCTTTACTTAGTGCTAGTTGACCTCGAATGCCCCTCAGCCCTCCCCAGAGGTAGGAATCTCTGGTCAGTGTCAGCAAGAGATGTCCAAATAGAGTTTGCGACATTTTACGGTGGGTTGGGCGATAGAGCGGGATTGCTCTTATCTACAGATAACTTCCAGGCACACGGGATAGGCAGAATGAGGAATAATTCATCTTCTATGGTAGCGCCTTTATGACAGTTCCTTTTTATGGGGGTGATTGGAAGGACTGCGTCCAGTCATGAGAATGTGTATTAAGATTTATTTATATCTCATAACCATGGGAATCTTTCCCCACTGGAATCAGATTTCCAGACCTATAATTAGAGGAGTAGAAGATTTCGCTGCATTACACTCTCATCCAGTACCTCAGTTTACCACAGGTGTCTGTAGTGGGGGGTGGGAGGCTTGCATGCCCCGAGATATTCTCTCTCTCTCTCTCTCTCTCCCCCTCTCCCCCCAAATCGGATCTGGTTCCTGATGCCATGGAGGAGGTGGGAACCCCCAAACTTTTGCCTGTCTCTTCGTGTCATCCCTTGAATTGCAGTACACAACCATCCCTTAGGACCCATCTGGATGTGGGTTGGCTCCCACAAATGGGTCAAAAGGATGATTAAATGATAAGGTGTTAGTTCAAAAATGCTCAATACGTTGATCGAAATCTATTAGTGGATCGCAAATGTAGTGTGGGTAGATCGCATGGCATTAAAAAAACAGACGTAAGCCTATCGTCAATCCCGTCACTTAATTGATCTAAGCGCAGCCAATCAGATCCAATCTTAAGTGCCAAACGCATGCGCAAACAACTGCGCTAAGTGCAGCAAAACTGACAAGGTAAGTTATCGGCAATTTTTAGACCTTAGTTTTTTTCTCTTAAACATAAGAAAGGGTATTCAAATGAGTGGGGGAGCTGGACCAAGTGAGAAGATAAAAACGTATCACTTTCATAAGGAATGGGAGATTTTGACACTACATACAAGCCGACATTCAGCTGAAGTCCAGAGCGCATGAACAGTTCTGGAACTTACTCGCAGAGGGAAAGTACCCAAACCTGAGAAAATGTGCTACCTCCTTGACTGCATTATTCAGCTGTACTTATTTATATCAGTCAGCCTTTTCCCACATAAGATCATTAAGTCCAAGTTCCGTTCCACCACGACTGACGATCATTTGGAAGTGTGCTCGAGGCTGGCTATGGGCAGCTACTATTTGAACTATGCATCCCTGGCTCATTCCATTCAGTGCAAGTCATCGGAGTAAACCCAGGTCATGACAAAAAATGTACATAGCTCATTGTATTGTGTTGCGCAATATGGACTCATGCGATTATGCAAGGTACATAAACATACATTGTACATATAAAGAATTCTCAATGCATGTAGGAATACATAAATAAATTTTGCATTTTTGTAGTTGGTAGATCATTTTGACTTGATCATTTTCTAAGTAGCTCACCTGCTGAAAAAGAGTGAGCACCCCTGTGTTAGATTTTACCCTAACCGCGTCTGCCATAATCCACTCCCAATGCACTCTGTGTGATAATAAGGCTATCCCCATCCCTAGTGCATGCGCAAAGGGGAGTCATCAGAGGCTCAGTCCACAGGTGGACCCTGCAAATGGATCCTGGACTTCACTGTTATCCATAGCTGTCGGCAAACCAAGTACTCACAATTTAAGCTTGATACCCTTCCCTCCTTTGGATTTAGATTTTATTTTTTACAATCCTTGGATCACACAGGCTGGTGTGCTTCTTGCATGTGGATTTATTAGGTAGTAAGTTAGACAGGGTTCTCTAGAGAAACAAAGCCAGAATGCTAATCATTTCATATATATTTATATAAACAAATAGATAACATAAGAAATAAACTGTTAATTAATCTATAAAGCAGTACAAATGGCTCAGTGCAACTCACTCCCATGAGATAGCTGTGAGACACTGGCAATCCTTCAAGTCTTGAGGGCCGCCGGGCAGTCCTCTGTAGAGAAATTCAGGCTATCCAGCCACAGGCAGAAAACAGCAAGGCCGGTCACCAACTGTCAGCCAGATGACAGGATCCGACAGTCCCCAGCTCAAGAGAGGTAAATTCCAATGGTGTGGCGAAGCAGGTCTTGAAGGAACTTCAAATTACAGTGAGACAGTCCTGGGTTGTGTGTCCCACAGGTAGTGTAGCTTGAAAATTGGGGCACAGAACAAGCAAGGCAGCCACACACTGGTCTGATGATCAAAGAGTACGAGACAAGAAAGGCTCTCTGAGCCTTTTATCTCTATGCCCTTCAATTAATCCTACTTGTGTTCATTGGCCATGTTGGAACAATAAACCTACCTATCACAGGTAGCAAGAGACGGGGGTGGGGGTGTGTGTATGGGGGGGTTGTCCCTCTCCATGTCTGAAGGCCCCTTACAGGAGGTTGGAAGAAAATGAGGAGAGTCCTTAGCCAGCCATAAGGACTAACTGGGTAGCCCAAACTAGGCCCAGGTGGGCTTAATTCAGCCAATGGGGTCAACCGATACCTTTGACCATGCCTCCCAGCCAAAGGCCTCAAATACCTTAACCACAAGCCTTCCCCCCTTCTTCTTCACCCTTCAGCTCCTGTCCTGTGCCTGCTTGGCCGTGCCATGGTCTCCCTGGCCTCAGATTACCACGTGGGAGTGTGCAGTCCCACGAGGTTGCCCATGCTCAGTGATGGTAAAGCCTGAAACTTCTTCCGTCCTTTATAGAAACCCACTTGGATCACAAACCAGGCTTCTGTGTGAATTCGTTCTCTTGTGATATTTCCTACCTGAGAATCTAATGGATTTAGTTGGCACCTCACTTAGATGGCTGCACATTCGAAGACAAGCCTTTAAGGGCCCAAGCTTCAGTGTTTGTTACTCAACTAAGACTGTCTTAGACATCTCTGTGGGTCTGCACGGTGGGCTTGGCACCAGACCACTAACCATAAGGTCGGCCCACCAACCTGCAAGGGAGCAAGATGAAGCTGTGAGCTCTCTCAAAGATTAGTAGCTTCAGACATGTACACAGGGTTGGTTTCTGACTTTTTAAATGAGTCTATGCATCTCAGTGGCCTGGCGAGAGACCAGTCCGTGGGAAGAGACATCACGCTTGGCCAAGTAGGAAGTCAGCTAGAAAGAGGAAGAGGCTCAAGGAGAAGGGTTGGCACCGTGACTGCAACAGTGAACTCAAACCTAGCAGCTGTGAGGCGGGTCCACGGTGGGTTCATGTTTCCTTCTGTTGTACTCAGGGTCTCCATGAATCGGGGTGGACTCGACGGCTGCCAACAACCCCAGCTGCATGCATCTCAACACACAGAGGTGGTAGTTCCATAAAGGAGCCTAGATAACACACACACATACACACATGCACGCAAGGTCAATATATATGAACAGAGCATATAGACATGGACCAAGACACATACACAGTCTATATAGCAACAGAGCATATAGACATGGACCAACACACAGTCTATATATGAACAGAGCGTATAGACCTGGACCAACACACACAGTCTACATATGAACAGAACATATAGACATGGACCAAGACACATACACAGTCTATATAGCCACAGAGCATATAGACATGGACCAAGACATACACAATATATATGACAGAACATATGGAGATGGAACCAAAAACACACAATCATGTTCAATATATGAACAGAGCATATAGACATGGATAAAGTGACCAGATGTCCCGCTTTTGGCGGGAAAGTCCTGATTTTTAAGAATTCTTCCTGCATCCTGCGGCGTTTTTAAAAAGTCCCGATTTTTGGAAAGAATGCACGACAAGCTAAGGTATATGGTTTTCGGCTGCCGTGTGGCTATTTCGCCAGGAAATGAGTTTTATCAATGGTGTCCCGCTTTACCAATGGTAAAATCTGGTCACCTTACATGGACCAACACACACAGTCTATAGATGAGCAGAGCATATAGACATGGATCAACACACACTGTCAATATATGAACAGAGCATATAGACACGGACCAACAACACACATACACATTGAGTCAGTATATCGGCATTAGATCAACACACACACACACACACACATACACACACTTGTATGCAACCTTGTATGCAAGCTGAGAATAATTCCGAAAGGGGAGTGGTCAACTCAGGGGAGGAGCTCCCCAGAGAAGGGTCGCACTCGGGAGATAGACATGCTGACATCAAGTCGATTCCGACTCATGACAACAGTACGTGCAGCAGATCAAACTGTCGCCCCCTGCTCTTGGGATCGAGTGGCGTGTCCAAGCCCTTCCTTGTGGCTGTTGTATGATCTGTCTCACC